CTCGCCCCACATATTGTCCGCCAATTCATATGTGTCTCCGAGAACTCCCTTCGAGACAATAATCTTGTGCTGACTTTTGCTAAGAATAGACACCAATCTCTTCATTAGATCCACATTTACTGAACCCATAGAACCCAATGAGAGATAAATTAATTTACTTTTCTCTATATCTCTGTCATTAAATTTATCCGGAATTTTAAACTCTTGTTTCTCTCCTCTTCTCATGAATGCGTCGACACTTAACCACTTCTCTGGAAGTGGTCTGAGATCTGTATAATCGAGTTCTTCGGGATATCCATAGATATTAAGATACGGCGAGTCAGGCATAGCTTTATTATTAGTAGTTATTGGAAAGCCTTCCTCTTTCATCCATGCATTGTATTTAATGGCATGACTTTTAAAACTTTCATTTTTTAATTCTAGAAATTCTTCCCATAGTTTTCGATCTCCGTTTGAAGGATAGCCTGAATTTATAAATAAATAAATTAATAAAAGAGTTTTTAAGAAATTTAATGTTATATTTTAAATAATATCAGTTGTGAACTGACCCGAAGCGGGCGGAGGAGTCCTATCATCATCGATATAAAATAGAGGATTTCCGCTACACAACAAAACCCAGGGTTTGTTTGAGTGGATTAGTGTCGGAGAGCCGAAGAAGTCATCGATGATATACACATCGGGATTATGTTTGGCTACAATTGCCTTACGCTGTGGTTCATTGGCTCTAAATGTCCGGAGCATTAGATCCATAAACGGCATCGATTTCATACTTTTTAACGTTTCTAACGATGTTTTAGTGGACAGTAGTCCCGACGCCAGCAATTTGGTGGCGCCGTCTTCTCCCGGTTTTTTGCCTTTACTTTCCTCTGAAGTTATGATCTCTTCGATGAAACCAAATGGCGATAACTTTCCCGCATATGACTGGTCGACAGCGAACACCACTTTGTGGCCCCGACTCAGCAGTACTTCAGCCAAACCTATGCAGGCATTCACGTGTCCCACGCCTTCCATCGGCGCAAACAATATCGTTAACTTTTGTACCATTTTTTGCAATTAATTAACAAATGTTTGATTTTGAGTTAACAATTAGTTGAACGTATAATTAAATTGTTACGAATGGGGTTTGAATTTATACTAAAACTTTTCAAAAAAAACTATATTACGTCAAAATGGCTTGAATTTACAACAAAAATTATTATTTATAATTTATATTTAAAATCACACGTTTTTGAGAAAATAAATTTAGTGCAATTAGTTGAATAGAGATAAATAAAGTATTTCATAATATTTATTTATAACGGATCTGATATTTACTAAAACATATGATATTGTTAATTAGTAATTTTTATAAACTTAGGATAATAAATAATTATCAAATATAATTTGTTTTAATTTAATATTTTTAATCGCGTAAATTGTTTTACAATTTTATATACGGTATTCTTAAGAAACTGTAATATTTCACAATTTTGCTCTACAATCTTGAAGCTAAAAAAACAACGTTATAAAACAACGTTTGGTCGTTCAAAAATCTTAAATATAAACGGATTAGCCTTACAAACGAGTCGCATATTTTTGAGTAATACTGTATTTATATTTTTGACCAATTTTGTTAATTGATTTATAAAATCCAATACAAATAATTTTAAATTTATAATTTTCAAAAATATTTTGAAATACTTTATTTATTACTAACTAACTCTATGCACTAAAAATTTTATCAATAATGGACTTTATATACCATTTACTGATAATTATTTCTGTTGTATTAAATCATTTTGTAAATAGTGTTTAAGTGTATGTTTAATGATGTAATGTAATCAATAATTGCACTAAACATCATAGCATTGGGTTTTCTGTCAAATTAATTTCAAAATAAATTTAAATTTCATTAATTTACAAGTCTTTCAATTATTTTCATTGCGATTTGAATGCTATTTGAAGTTTGTATGCGTTTTGAAGCGACGGATAATTTATGTTTCAATTCCTTATCATTCAATAGCTTTTCAATTGAATCCAATAATTGTTGTTCTGAACAGTTGTACGGATCAAGTCTTAGACCAAACCCTTTTTTCTCCACTCTCTGTGCGTTATCGTATTGATCAGCAAATAATGGCATTATTATCATTGGTTTACCACAAACGAATGTCTCAGTCACTGAATTGGTCCCGCCGTGAGTTATGACCACATCTACTAATGGCAACACTTTTGTCTGCGGAACTGAGTTCTTGCCCCACATATTGTCCGCCAATTCATATGTGTCTCCGAGAAGTCCTTTTGAGACAATAATCTTGTGCTGACTTTTGCTGAGAATAGACACCAATCTCTTCATTAGATTTACATCCACTGAACCCATAGAACCCATTGAGAGATAAATTAATTTGTTTTTCTGTTCATCTCTTTCAAGAAATATCTCCGGAATTTTCAAATCTATTTTACAATTAAGTTCTCCTCTTCTCATAAATGTGTCGACTCTTAACCACTTCTCAGGAATGGGTCGGATGTCTGTATAATCCAGTTCTTCGGGAAAGCCATAGATATTAAGATACGGCGATTCAGGAATAGCTTTATTGTTAGTAGTGATGGGAAAGCCCTCTTCTTTCATCCAATCGTTGTATTTAAGGCTTTGTTTCCTGAATATACTGTCAGTCAGTTCTCTGAATGCTATCCATTTATTTCTCTAGCCATTTGATGGCAAACCTGTTATAAAATAATAGAAATATCAGTAAATATTATTATAATTTATAAATGATATTATAAGTTATAAACATCAAACCGGAAGCAAATGGTGGTGTGTTATCATCATTGATGGCAAACAGCGGACCTCCGCTTATCAACAAAACCCAGGGTTTGTTTGAGTGGATTAGTGTCGGAGAGCCGGCGAAGTCGTCGATGATATACACATCGGGATTATGTTTGGCTATAATTGCCTTCAGTTTCGGTTCATTCGCACGCATTTCGTTAATCATAACGTCAATGAATTGAAAATTTGCAACTTTTCATAGGATGTGATTCCCGACAGAATCCCGGAGTTTAGCAAACTCTTGGCCTCCAGTTCTCCGGCCTTTTTGTGTTTGTAATCCGATGTGAGTATCTCTTCAATGAAACCAAACGGCGCTAACTTTCCCGCATAGGGCTGACCACCGACAAACACTATTGCATGGCCCCGACTCAGCAGTACTTCAGCCAAACCTATGCACGCATTCACGTGTCCCACGCCTTCCATCGGCGCAAACAATATCGTTAACTTTTTGCTCATTATTTATTTCAAACCTCAAAATTAACCCAATTTTCTTAGACATTAATTGTATTAATTGTATTACCAAATAATGATCAACTTTTATACCTAAATATGGTACAGTATTGAGGAATTGAAATATAAATTATATGATATGATTGAGATTTTGTTTATGATATTTTGTAAATTTCTAAGAATATTTAAATTAAATACAATAATTTAATTGTTTTTAACATTAACTATTATCTTAATCATATTTAATCAGCATTTAATGTAAATAATAGTGAAATGTTTTTATACTTATATAATGTACTTGAAATATCTTTATTATTGCTTGTTAATAACTCGTAAATGAATTTATTAAATCAATATGAAATTTAATTAAATTGTGTGAATGGTTACTCACATTAACTCTTAAACATATTTAGATAATATGTATAAAATTGGTTTTAATGGGTTTCTCACATGTATTTTCATTAATTATATTTGTTTCATAATTGTTGAGTTAATTAAATTAGGTTTTAATACAAATAAGTAAAATAAATGGGAGTATGATATGAGCTCGAAAGTCAAATATTTATTTTATAAACCAAATATTTTAATTGATAAAATATAATTAATACAAACTAACAAATGTATGTTTTATTAGTAATACCATTAAATTTAAGTAAATTCTTTAAAATATTAATTTAATGCTAGAAATTTAATACAGTATTCATTAAATAAGATTTTCAATGTTTTCGGCGGCTTTTTGAAGGCTATTTGAGTTAAGCATACGTTTTGAAGCGACGGATAATTTGTGTTTCAATTCCTTATCATTCAATAGCTTTTCAATTGTATCTAATAATTCCTGCTCTGAAACGGTGTGCGGATTAAGTCTAATCCCAAATCCCTTTTCGTCCACTCTCTGTGCGTTATCCCATTGATCACCAAATAATGGCATTACAATCATTGGTTTACCATAAGTGAAAGTCTCGGTCACAGAGTTGTTCCCGCCGTGAGTTATAACCAGATCCACAAATGGCAACAATTTTGTCTGCGGAACTGAATTCTCGCCCCACATATTGTCAGCCAATTCATACATGTTTCCACGAGGTCCTTTTGAGACAATAAACTTGTGGTGACTTTTGCTGAGAATAGACACCAATCTCTTCATAATATCCACATTTATTGAACCCATAGTTCCCATTGAGAAGTAAATTAATTTACTTTTCTCAATATCTCTGTCCAGGAATTTATCGGGAATTTTAAACTCTTGTTTTTCTCCTTTCCTCATAAATGCGTCAACACTTAACCACTTCTTTGGAAGTGCTCTGAGATCTGTGTAATCGAGTTCTTCAGGATATCCATAGATATTAAGATACGGCGATTCTGGGATCGCTCTGTCAATAGTCGATATGGGAAAGCCTTCCTCTTTCATCCATTCATTGTATTTAATTAATTGTTTTTTAGTCCTATTTTTGGACATTTCTCTGAATTCTTGCCATCCTTTTCGGTCTCCGTTTGAAGGATAGCCTAAATATTTTTATTTATTAATTATTAAATAATTTTTTATAAATTATTACAAAAGTAAAACTCACCCGACATTCCCGGAGGTGTCCTGTCGTCGTGTAAAACAAACAATGGATTTCCACTAAACAGGAAAACCCAGGGTTTGGTTGAGTGGATTAGTGTCGGAGAGCCAACAAAGTCGTCAACAATAAACACATCGGGATTATGTTTGGCTACAATAGCCTTAAGCTTTGGCTCATTAGCTCTCATTGTGGGTATCATTGCCTCTAATAGGGGTAAAGTCTGCATAATTTCCAACGATTTATAAGATGTTTCGGCGGACAGGAGTCCCGTTCCCAGCAAACGCCCGGCAATATCTGGTCCCGGCTTTTGGCCATTAGTCTCCTCCGAAGGCATTATCTCTTCAATGAAACCAAACGGCGATATTTTTCCCGTAAAGGCTTTGTTGACAACGAACACAATTTTGTGGCCCCGACTCAGCAGTACTTCAGCCAAACCTATGCACGCATTCACGTGTCCCACGCCTTCCATCGGCGCAAATAATATCGTTAATTGTTTAACCATTTTTACAATTAATGAATTTGTTTTATTTAATAATATATTAAATATTAATGTATTTTACTGTTTAGGAAACTGTGATTGATTTGCTTTGAAAATGATTAACTATTTATACCAAAACATGACTATTAAGAGCAAACGAAAACATTTATACGTCAAAATGTTTTGGCTATATCTGACAGTTAAATATAACAGATAATAATTGTCTGATAATTGTTTGTATTTATCATTACATTTGATGTCATATTGGTTGCAAGTCTCAGTGCTTTTTACATATACAGTATATTAATCAACTTTATTATCAAATACATTGTAAATTCAGTACACTATATACGGTGAAATGTACTGAACTAACAATAAACATACTTCCCATATTAAATTAGTCAATTGCTAATAGTATACTTAATGTGTTTAAAATTGTTGATTAGTACAATTGGTATACATTTATGTGTGTAAACATGCATTTAATAATAATACGATTTTCAGTGCATTGAGTTAATAATGATGTGACAAATGTTTGTTTAATAATATGTTTAATCAATAATTATTTTTGCCACAAACAAAGTTTTATGCGTTTAAATGCAGTTTTATATCGTTTTCCGTCAAATTAATTTTTTTAAACAAATTTTAATTTAATTTTTGTAATAATTTTTTGATTATATACAATCATTCTATAAGTATTTGTATAAATTAATATAGATAATGTTTACCTTATTTTGTTTAATGAAAAATTGGCTAAAAATATTAAAATTCTTATTAAATAAATACTAGATATGTGTAAATTTAACGCAAAAATTAGTAGTTTATAACTTAAATTCATTGTTAATACTAATAAAATATATTTTATTTGTTTGTAATAATTATATTTCTATTAATTTAAAACATAGATTGTTTAGAAATATATAGATAATGAGTTATTAATTAACTAATAAAGCAATTTTTATTATAATTTGTATGATCAGTAAATGTAATTTGTCATAACTTATTAACAGGATTTATCAAAATGTTAAAATATCAAATTTAACTCAAAAATTTATTAGTTGAGTAATTAATTTTATTAAAATTTATATATCATTTTAACCAATATATGTGTAAATCTATTTAAACAGAAAGTCGGATCCAATGTTATACTTAAGGCCGCCATCGATGACCAGATTGTGTCCCGTTATGAATGAGGCGTCCGATGAGGACAGGAATACCACTCCTTTGGCGATCTCTATGGGCTCAGCGTTGCGTCCGAGAGGTGTATATTTGATGGCATTGTTAGTGGCCTTTTCAAACTCGGGTATATCCCACACAGCATATGAACGAACCACACCGATGCTATCATTATTATATTAATTAACCATGCTCAATTAGTATGCTATAATTTCAGTGAGTTGTGAATTAATTATTGATAACAAATACCTGACACTATTAACACGTATACCCTGTGGGGCCAACTCTAGTGCCAGTGTAGTTGTGGCCATCTCTAAACCCAGTTTTGCTATTTGATACGCTAAATAGCCTTTTTGCTACATGTAATAGAAAATATGTTACACCTCGATGTTTTAAACAAGACAATTTTTAACCAAAATTGTTTACCGGTCTCTCCGTCAGCACAGCTGTAATGTTAACAACACTTCCTTTGGTTTGTTTGAGATGTGGTTCAAAGAGTCGAATGAGAGTCAGATTTGCCTTCACATCCACTGCGAGTGATTTGTCCAAAATTTCCAAAAAGTTATCAGCGGTTCCGTTGGTCCAGACGGAGGCCCCGGCGTTATTGACCAACACATCCAATCTATTAAATGCCTTAATTGTCTCATTGAACACTCGGTGCACATCCTTATCATCCGACAGATCCGCCGGGATTTCCAAAGCCTATACATTATTAGAGTGAGTGAGTGAGTGAGTGAGTGAGAGAGAGAGAGAGAGAGAGA